TGATTCCAGCTTTATGACATGGCGCATTATCCTGCTGAAAGTAGCCATCAGAAGTTGGGTACATTGTGGTCATAAAGGGATGGACATGGTCAGCAACATTACTCAGGTAGGCTGTGGCGTTGCAACGATGCTCAATTGGTACCAAGGGGCCCAAAGAGTGACAAGAAAATATTCCCCACACCATGACACCACCACCACCAGCCTGATCCGTTGATACAAGGCAGGATGGATCCATGCTTTCATGTTGTAGACGCCAAATTCTGACCCTACCATCCGAATGTCGCAGCAGAAATCGAGACTCATCAGACCAGGCAACGTTTTTCCAATCTTCTATTGTCCAATTTCGATGAGCTTGTGCAAATTGTAGCCTCAGTTTCCTGTTCTTAGCTGAAAGGAGTGGCACCCGGTGTGGTCTTCTGCTGCTGTAGCCCATCTGCCTCAAATTTCGACGTACTGTGCGTTCAGAGATGCTCTTCTGCCCACCTTGGTTGTAACGGGTGGTTATTTGAATCACTGTTGCCCTTCTATCAGCTCGAACCAGTCTGATCATTCTCCTCTGACCTCTGGCATCAACAAAGCATTTCCGCCCACAGAACTGCCGCTCACTGGATGTTTTTTCTTTTTCTGACCATTCTCTGTAAACCCTACAGATGGTTGTGCGTGAAAATCCCAGTAGATCAGCAGTTTCTGAAATACTCAGACCAGCCCTTCTAGCACCAACAATCATGTCACGTTTAAAGTCACTCAAATCACCTTTCTTATGGAGAGATATTTGTGCCATCGGTTTGAGCGCGCAGGAACCAATCCGAGCGCGCAGTGAGACAACACGCGCGCGCGCAAAACCGGTCTGGCGCGCGCTCAACTCTCGCGCTCAGTTTCATCTCTGCGCGTGCTCGAATCCGTCTCTGCTCGCGCTCGCTCGACCTGCTCTCTCTCCGCGCTCAACACCAGCTGTGCGCTCGGCTGTTTCTCCGCTCGCTCGACTCTCTGCGCTCGCAACTTCAGCAATGTATGTAAATGAACCATACCATCAGCCAATCACACTCAGCTTCTTTTCATCCAATGAAAGCATTCCTTCCTTCTTCTTCTTCTTTTCTATCATGGCGGATCGCAAGCAACTTTAAGGTGCATACCGCCACCTACTGTTCATGAGTGTGTAGCAACATTGTTTTACATCTATTAAATTCTATTTTTTAATTTTGCATTCTGAAGATAACTAAATAATGCTTTCCTTAATCTATAAACATCCTTTATATTTCCTTTATTTCCCAATAATCCTTTAAGACTCCATTCTTGGCCTGTCATTTCAACTACTCTTCTCAATTTTTCCCTTTCAGGTTCATATGTTTTACAGTTCATTAATATGTAAGCATTCGTTCCAAATACTACATCCGGTTAGATGAAAAAAAATACATAAATAAATAAAAACACAATCAGGAAAATCAAACAACTCTTACAGTTATTTTGTCAACATTCCTAAGATAGTACTATAAAATATCTTGAATTATCTCAAATAAACTTCAGTAAAACAGTTATTAGATCATTGCCTCATCCATCTCTTTTACCTGCTATTGACATGGATTTAAATTTGATGTTTTAAAAGAAAAATAAGGAGGATATTTCAGGTTTAACAATATATAGATAAAAAATATTATGGATATGTTAAATTTTTTATGGATGCTTCAAAATATTCCAATATTAGGAATGGTGTTTTGTTTTAGTTTCATAATTTATTTTTAAATCGGGTAAAAGAATCAGTGATGGAATTCAGCCTACAAAGGAGAAATGTTTTGGATCATATTGGCCTTACAATGGATTGAAGAAATCGTTCCATTAAGAAGTTTAGTTTGCTCTCATTTTAGATCAGCGACCGTTATATTAATTTAAACGCAATTATTCAGACAGCAGACGTGATCTGAAATTTAACAATTATTATTTAGAAGACCTTTTACAGATGGACTCTAAATAAGAGGGTTATTCTTTATTATATATATTAAAAAGAATAATTTGATAAACAGGATTTTTCAGTTGGTGGCGGTAATTGTTGTTTGCCAACCTCCATAAAAAACAACAAAAAGAAGAAACACCCGCCACAAAAGCTAAGAGTAAGGCCAATATGATCCAAAACATTATCTATATACTGTTGAACCATACTGGAACCTGAAATATCCTCCTTATTTTTCTTTTAAAACAGCAAATTTAAATCCAAGTCAATAGCAGGTAAAAGAGATGGATGAGGCAATGATCTAATAACTGTTTTACTGAAGTTTATTTGAGATAATTCAAGATATTTTATAGTACTATCTTAGGAATGTTGACAAAATAACTGTAAGAGTAGTTTGATTTTCCTGATTGTGTTTTTATTTATTTATTTATTTATTTTTCATCTAACCGGATGTAGTATTTGGAACGAATGCTTACATATTAATGAACTGTAAAACATATGAACCTGAAAGGGAAAAATTGAGAAGAGTAGTTGAAATGACAGGCCAAGAATGGAGTCTTAAAGGATTATTGGGAAATAAAGGAAATATAAAGGATGTTTATAGATTAAGGAAAGCATTATTTAGTTATCTTCAGAATGCAAAATTAAAAAATAGAATTTAATAGATGTAAAACAATGTTGCTACACACTCATGAACAGTAGGTGGCGGTATGCACCTTGAAGTTGCTTGCGAACCGCCATGATAGAAAAGAAGAAGAAGGAAGGAATGCTTTCATTGGATGAAAAGAAGCTGGGTGTGATTGGCTGATGGTATGGTTCATTTACATACATTGCTGAAGTTGCGAGCGCAGAGAGTCGAGCGAGCGGAGAAACAGCCGAGCGCACAGCTGGTGTTGAGCGCAGAGAGAGAGCAGGTCGAGCGAGCGCGAGCAGAGACGGATTCGAGCACGCGCAGAGATGAAACTGAGCGCGAGAACAGTGTGTTGAGAGGGTTTTTCAGAGTTGAGCGCGCGCCAGACCGGTTTTGCGCGCGCGCGTGTTGTCTCACTGCGCGCTCGGATTGGTTCCTGCGCGCTCAAACCGATGGCACAAATATCTCTCCATACTTTCTTCCCCATACTGATGCTCGGTTTGAACTGCAGGAGATTGTCTTGACCATGTCTACATGCCTAAATGCACTGAGTTGCCGCCATGTGATTGGCTGCTTAGAAATTAAGTGTTAACGAGCAGTTGCACAGGTGTACCTAAAAAAGTGGCAGGTGAGTGTATATATGTATATATATATAAATAAAACTGTTTTCTCACCCCTCGTGGGGTGGTATGTGTCATCCTCAAGCTCGGGTCCTCTACCAGAGGCCTGGGAGTTTGAGGGTTCTGCGCAGTATCTTAGCTGTTCCTAGGACTGCGCTCTTCTGGACAGAGACCTCTGATGTTTTACCTGGAATCTGCTGTAGCCACTCTCCCAGTTTGGGGGTCACATCCCCAAGTGCTCCAATTATCACTGGCACCACTGCTGCTCTTACTTTCCACATCTTTTCTAGCTCCACTTTCAGCCCTTGGTATTTCTCAAGCTTCTCGTGTTCTTTCTTCTTGATGTTGCTGTCGCTTGGGATTGCCACATCTATCACTACTGCCTTCTTCTGCTGTTCGTCGATCAACACAATGTCTGGTTGGTTAGCCATCACCCGTTTGTCAGTCTGGATTTTGAAGTCCCATAGGATCTTTGCTCGGTCATTCTCAACTATCTTATAGCCAAGCATCTCTAGGATCACTGTAGCTGTGGCATAGGTCAGCTCATTGGTCTCAGTGTCACAATAATGAGATAGTATCTCATTATAATGAGTTACTATTTCATTATAATGAGATATTTTTTCATTTTTATTTTTTTTAACAGAGTTGCGGAAACGGGCTTCCATTGATTTGCACTGTTGATTAAAAAAACTATATAAAGGGCAAACATGACACCTGTCCTTCGACCCCAGCACTTCCAAAGATGTTTCTTGGGGGGAAAAATCAATTCAAGCATGTCTCTGGATTATAACTATGCACAAGATATTAAGCTATATATAGCTTAATAAAACATCCATGTAGCTTGTGTTTAAAGGTCAGTGTACCTTTTGGAATTTGGCAATGTTGAATGAGCCGGAAATATACTGATTGCAAAAGGACTAAGAATGGTGGGGGCCAGAAAAGGCCGGCTCTAAGCTTTAAGAACATGCTCCACACCCTCTTTTCTTTCTCTTTTAGAAGTAATCGCATTACATCTCTACATCCAGACTTCAAAATAAATTGTGGCATATTTGAAATCAACTTTAAAAATGGGACAAACAATAAAAAAAAACTCAATATTAATTAATAATTTGGACAAGGCACCAAAATCGCCACTAATTTATGGTAATTTGGATGTCAAATTTACAAAATTACATCTGTATGAAACCACAATTGTTTCTATATAGTGTGAATACATGAGTAAAAATTTTTTTTTTTACTGCCCATGTACAGTCCCATATAGTAAAGTAGAGTAAATATTACAGAATAATAAAGACTTGTCAGATTACAAAGCAAATACAACTTGAGGGGTTAAACATAAATTTTTAATTAACGCTGCATTTTTCTATATGTTTTTTTTTCTTTTAAATCAACCTGGCTTATTATTCTAATCCTTTTTTTAATTAGCTGTAAGAGCAAAAACCTGATTATTGACAGAAAAGCTTACAAACATCAATTTATCTTTTCATTTATCTTGAGTCAGTTACTGAAATAAATTAAGATATTTTTAATAATGTTAAACTGTATTAAATGGGTCTATAGATCATGGATGTTTTCCATGTGAGGCCCACATCATTCCACTGTGTTTCCCTTTAAAGAGGACAACCTTAGATATAAAATTCCCAGTTAACGATTAAAGACATGTGTAGTTAACTGCAGGAACGATAAAACCATTTTTAAAGGTGACTCGTCCCCCTTTTTCATGAGTTTTAAAGGTTTAACAAACTTTAAATTGATTGAAGCAGAGACATAATTGTTGTCAACCGCTAGGTGGCGACGCCGCCCTTTTTGATTGGCGCCAGACGTCGAAGAAGAGTCACTTCCGCCGAGAGTTAATGGCGGTTGCGAGGGTGGACTGTAAATATATCAGCTGCCACAACTGTAACTGTTCTAATTGTCTCCAAAACATGTACTGGACTGTGTCCAACACGCATGGAAGTTACAAGATGTCTATGTTCAACTTTCAGGTCGCTGCCTTGAGGAAAAATTCGCCTTCCGGTGGAAGAAAAAACATACGGTAAGAAAGAAACATGGAGTCCGGAGGAATCCAATTCATTATTGTTAGAACTTTATATCTACCGTGTAGCGAATGCATATCAGACATGAGTTTCTGACTTAATAAATGGTTTGTTAAATGGCTTGGGTTATATTGTATTATTCGTGCTGGAGCTTTGACTGTTTTTGTTCCAGCGTTCCTAATGGAGGAGGAAGAAGGAAGAGAGGAAGACTCGGAGTGTGGGGTGGCTGAGCTCCGTCTGAGGGTTGAGTCGCTGAAGCAGGAGCTGAAAGAGTGCCGTGCCGAGCTGACCAAGTTAGAGAAGCAGCTGAGCAACTCCGAGAGACTGCAGAAGAGCACCGAGAGCTACAACGAGGACCTGAGGAAGCAGGTCGGTCCTCATTAACACCAGCAGCGTCCTGGATTTGATCTGAGTAGGATTCAGAGCACGGCAGAAGTATTCACACCTTTTGTAACAAGTACAAACTTCTCACAAAGTAGTGAAAATGTGTGATATGGAAAATTAATTTATTTCAAAAGCAATTCAGAAATGTGTGACATGCTCACTAATATATTATACTGATCAGGGGTCCAGGTGTTATGGACTTTAAAGTAGGGAGTAGCTGGGTATATGGTTCTAAAGAGACATTCAATCATTTTTTTTCTCATGTTAAATCTTATAGACAGGTGTGATGCTTTTGCTTTCTATGGATTTGTATTTTATTTGTTTTGTATAAAACTATTTAAAGCTGTTAACCACTCTGGGTTCCAGAATAAAGCCTCTTACCAGTGCAGTCTACTCTGCAAGTCTTAATTAAACACAACATATTTAATTGTCTGAAGCTTCTTTTAGGAACAAAATTGTTCTATAACATCATTTATAGATTTTAGAATTACTATCTTAGATAAACGCAGTGCTGCCCTTGTAAGTATGATCAGTCAACACACCAGACTCTGAATGTGTCATTTATTTTTCACTTCACTACTGTACCTCCAAACATGTAGTTTAACTTTATTGATCTCACACTGGAGAATTTCACTATCTGCATTTAAACCATCCCTTTGGGAGCAGTGCGGCACCCTCGGAGCGGTGTGGGTTTTGCTCAGAGACCAAGGCTACGTTCACACTGCAGCCTAAAGTTAACCAAATTCGATTTTTTTGGCCCATATGCGACCTGGATCTGATCTTTTCATGGCAAAACGGATCCGATTTTTTTTCCAATCTGACCAAGGCCACTTGGCTATGTGGTCCTGAATCCGATACGAATCTGATTTTTCAAATACAACCTGTGTCTAAACGGCCGGGTCGGATTTATCCGGCCTGAACATCTTTAATACCTGACACAGGTCACTATTCTGCGTCTTGCTATGCAGAAGCGGTAAGAAAAAAAACAACCATGGCAGACGATGATGCGGAGAGCAGTATTTATGTTTAACCATATTGAAAAGATTGAGTTTTAATGGTTGGAAAAGACGGCTAGATGCCAACGGTACTACCATCCATGTTTACTTCCATAAACATAGAGCATGCTGGCCTTTGACGTCATTGCGTCCTCTACTGCACATGCGGGACACTTGCGTTGTATGACTGCAGTTCACACAGGAGATCACATACAAGTCGCATATATTTCGAAATATGAAAGGCAACGCAAAACAAATCGGATTTCACAAAAAAAAAATTGAAATTGAGCATAAAGGTCTGCAGTGAGAATGTAGCCCCAAGAGTGCAGGCTGCGGGGATCAAACCGGTTACTTTCAACCTTCTCAGAGCTCAAGCGCACTGCTCTAACCACTAGACCAACACTGTCAAACAGTCCCCCAAATGTATCCAACTTTCTACCTCCCTCACTAACCCATTTATCTGTACCTTGGTTAAACTGCGCTTGCTCCTCTCTTCCCTTAGAGGTGATGAATTGGTCTGTCTCTAGTTACAAAGTAGCAGATGTAAAAACAAGCTACTAATGCTTTTACAAGACATGATGAATAGAAAGGTTTAGTCGTAGGAAATAAGGTTAGGCTTAATTCAGACTGCCGCAGTCTTAGCTGAAATGTGTTAAAATCCTACAAGAAAAGCGTTGTTGTTTTTGTACCACCCCAGGTTGACCAGCTCAGCGCAGAGATTCATGAGCGAAAGAAGAAAGAAAAAAGCAGGGTAAACCGGGAAACTCAGACGGAAGAATACGTATGGACAGAAACAGGTGAATTTACACATCATCTCAGGATAAAGATTTTACTGCAGGTTGATATCACAAAAAAATGTTCTGTAAAATTTTTCTGTATTTTAGATTACTACAATTACTATTATGGAGGTTACAGTCAGAACGCGGAGGGGGCTGAATCCCAACAAAGTCTGGAGACGGCGCCAGCAGCGGTGGCTGCGGAGGTCAGCGACTACACCACAGCAGCAGAAGCACTACCGACAAATGAAGCAGCAGATGTGACCGCTCCTGCAGAAAGCAGCGAAGTAGCTGCAACGGAGGTAACGTTTTGTTTGAGATGACACTAATAATGTCATTGGATCTTAAAGTAAAATCTGAGTTGACCCTGGATTCATTTGTTTGATAAAATGTCTGTTTCAGGGAGGTGATGTGGGCTCCATAGCCGACATGCTCAGGGCCACGGCTGAAGAAGCCATGACACAGACTGGCTTTGTCTTTGATGAGACGACTGGGATGTATTATGATCACAGCACAGGCTTCTACTATGACTCGGTTTGTTGTTTTTTTATTTAGATTAATTTTAGTTGGGTTGCAGGTTCAGCTTAATTGTAAGCGTTCTCATTGTTCCCCCCCTTTTTCCAAAGGTCAGCCAGCTGTACTATGATGCCAACACTGGCATATACTACTACTACGATGCAGAAAGTGGACGGTATCAGTTTCATTCCAAGATTGAAGTTCCTGCTGTCCAGAGTGCTGTTGAATCTCTGCCAGAGAATGTTCCTGACAAGAAATGGAGAAAGTTCCCAAAAGGAGTAAAGAAGTCATCTTATCAGGATGGGGGGGTAAGTAATGACCCGGCCAGGTACAGCGCATCGTTGCTCAGAAATATGAGGTGGCTGACGGCTGGCTTTTTTAAGTTGTACTTTCCTCAAGTTCTCTTAGCTTTCATGGGTCTCAGTCTCTTTAAAGAAAGATAAAATCTTTATTCCGTTTGTGACAACGCAGGATAGTGGACTGAAAAAGGCTGTTTTTCTGACCTAGGTTCAAGATGTGACAAACTCTTTGGCTAAAATGAGGATTTGCTCTTACTGGAAACCTCCCTCCCACCGAGGTATAACTTGAAAATGAATGAAACACACTGACACAATGGTTCATAACCTGGCAAAAATATTCAAAACATCTAGAAACATAACTTTTTCTTGTGGAAGTTAAACTGACTGAAAATTCCAACACTTACTATATGTGCGTTTCCATCAGCTTTCTCTGATGCGCATTTTGAAGCATCGCATCAGGAAAACTTGATGGAAAAGGCAAGTTCAAACAAGTTTTTAAGCTTTTTAAGGTGTTATGCTCAAAGTGGGACATGGAAACACTTTTTCTAGATCCGCTCTGGCGTAGCAAACTTGAACTCTAGGGCTGGGCGATAATTCAATAACATATATCGATCGATAGACGTGTGGCGCAATAGAAAAAAATAGTGTTGATAAAAGTTCAATAAAGAAAGGCAGTTTTCCTTCCTTCTCATTGTAGCCTATAATGTAGGTTTATGCTAGTCACTACTTCCGTCCAACCAATCACAATCGCGGACCCAGGCACGCCGTCACAAAGCGCCGCCCTCTCAAACCACAACACAGAGCACATGAAGATGTCGCAGCAAGGAGAGGCGGAGGAAATTGTTCCAAAGAAGGGTTTTTGTAGTTCACCAGTTTGGCAGTATTCCGGTCATGGCAAGTCGGATAAAAAACAAACCACAGTCATCTGTAAAATGTGTAGGAAACCAGTGAAAACGAAGTCTAATAACACAACCAACTTTTTTTTTTCTTATCATCTAAGCCGCTCACACCCGCAGGACTACGAGCTGTGTAGGCCCTGGCGCGGCTCTCCTCCGAGGAATCTTCGGGAATTTCGGGGGAAAAAAAAAAAAAAAATATATATATAGCAGGAACCTAAGCTGAACCATAACGAGGTGCCAGCAGCACCTCTAGAAGAATGGGGGTGAGAAAAAATACCCCATAGAAATGCTAGGTTAAAGGGTGAGTTGATTTGGGTTTTTGTTCTTATTGACTGGAGTTTACATGGTAGCCTAGTCCTACAATCTTTTAATTACCACAAGCTGGTGGTGTACTATTCCCACCCAAATAGGTTATTCTATTTATTTATTTGTTATATTTATTTTGGTCACTTTTCTGGTCACTTTAGTTTATTCTTTGTCAGTATTTAATAACATAACCCAGGTCTCTTAAGTTATTTTTCTTTAAAACAATTGTTATGGTTAAAAAAGTTGATTCAATAAATATTTAATTGGAAGTCTGTGTTTGTGTTCTTTACTGAAATTAAATCATTTAGCAATATCATAAAAAGTCCAGGCAGAGCTGCACATATATGGAAATATGGTTTCAAATCTTTTCAATAATTATCGATATCGATCAATATGCATTTGTTTTTATCGATAAGCTTTTTTTCTATATCGTCCAGCCCTACTTTTAAGGTTAGCCTCAAACCAAGTAGAAACGACGCATTCATATTATTTCATACAATTGACAAATAGAGAACAGATAAGCAGATCATGGCTTGTCTACAGTGAAAAGAATGACTTTGTTATTTACTTTTGCCATCGCCTTTTTGGAAACACAGGAAGGAGCAATCAGCTAAGCGAGCGTAGTGCTTGGAAAAATCGTTCGTTCTTTTTGAGACAGCAGTAAAAACCAGCTGAGTACAAAACAAAGAGAGGAAAACAACAAGGAAAGGGACAAGAAGAGAGGGACAAAACGTAGAACAAATAATGGATTTCTATGCTATTAAAATTTCGGTGTCTCTATGATGTTTTATGTGTTGTCTTCTCAATTGAGAAGGCCCCCTGCCTGTCTTTGCCTAGGGCCCCAAATTTCCTAAATCCGCTCCTGATTATGACGATTGCTTTAGGACATTGTTAAGCTAATTTGTATGCTTCTTTAATAATTCCTCCCTAGTGTATGATATTTATCAATTTAACCATTTATCACCCTCATGCTCGTTGCCATGGGAACAAGTGATGTTGGTCTGTAGTTGGTTTTAACAGGGTCATTTATGGCTATAAATAGGTTATCTTCACGGCATCAGAGAGAGTCCACTTTAGAGACTGAAACCCATGAAATAATGCTGTGACTGAGATCTGGGATCAACCATAAAAGTCAGCTGCCCCGTTGCCTTAAGATACAGTAATCTCACTCACTGCTGACTGTCCGGTGGCAGGAACACAAAGGGGATGAGGCAAAGTTGGAAACAGAAGAAACTGAACGGGCCGAGTCCCGAAAACTGCATCAAAGGTCTCGTAGCCCAGAATTGTCAAAGAGTAAAAGAGACTCTTCAAGACGGGGGAAAGAAAGGGACAAATCGCCGTCGAGGAGAAAGAGGCTGAAAAATGGCTCCCACCACGAGGATAGGAGCAGTTCGAGGAAGAAGAGGAAAAAATCCAAGTCGGAAAAGAAGAAGAGGAAAAAGAAGAAGAAGAAGAGCCTGGCTCGGAGCGATGAGTCTGAGGCCAACAGTGAGCCAGAGGAGGGTGAGATCACAGAGTCTGAGAGAGAGGACTGTGAGTCCACCTCATCACCTTCATCGTGTTCCAGCCCCAAACATTCCAGGGAGAGTCCAGAGTCAGAAATGGAAGTGCAGAGCCAAGAAGGTGAGAAGAAATAAGGCTGGAATGTGACACAGTCCCTCAAAGCTAGAAGTCCCTTTGGCTCGTTTGATTCCTCTGATGCTTCCCGTGTCTGTTCGTTCAGCTGGCTAAACCAGCTGGCCTCTTTGGTTTCTTCCAGTGAATAGCTTTTGGCCTCCGTGTGTAAGAGTGACCGTGGTCAGGTCTCCGGTGCTGCAGGTGGGAACCCTGTTCATCATCACAGCCGACTCTTCAGCCACATTCGGCAGGTTGGTTCTCTGTTCTACAGGCCACTAAATGCTCACCTCTATTTGTGAAACATTTTGGCTTTTCCTTTTTCTCGAGCTTTACATACGTTCCCAACAAATTCCATTAAAATTCGAGTGTGGCATAGAAAAATGTGGAAAAACTAAACAAAGCAGCATCTTCCAGAAGAGATGCTGCTTTAAAGGAAGATTTGATTATTGTAATATAATGTTGGATAGTTGTAATGTTGTATAATGTGAGAAAAAGTTAATCCTCTACACTTTGTATTTGTTTGCAGAGAAAAAGAGATGAACCATGCAGTTCGAATACCAGAGATGGGAGTCAGCAAGGTACATGTCTCCGCTTTTCCTGCAGGGTCGTAAATCATTCAGATGTTTTCACACAGTTTTTCCAAATGTTTGGTTCCAGTTCCACGCAGAGGTGTATTTCGACCAGGAACAGCAGAGCTATATGCTGGTGGACCAGGGAAGCCAGAACGGGACGGTAATCAATGGAAACCGTATCTTACAGGTCAGTGAGTTCAGAAAAAGGCAAAACGTCCAGTTAAGCTGTGATTTCCTGAGTGAGATTTCCATTCACAGCCCAAAACCAAGTCGGAGCCTCAGGCTCTCATGCACGGAGATGAAGTTAAGATGGGGGAGACGGTGCTGTCCTTCCACATCCACTCAGGCACTGATACCTGTGATGGTTGTGAACCCGGACAAGTGATGGCTCACATCAGCAAGCACAGGAGAGAGGAGACCACGGGTGAGAGATCAAATCCCACAGAGAAAAATGAGCATTTGTTTAGTTTGTTTAAAATGTTCCAAACCGAAGGTGTCCTTGTTTCTAGACGGTCCAGGCCTCAGCAAAGAGGATAAAGAATCCCTGAGACAGAAAGAGCTGAAGCAAATGAAGGCCAAATATGGCCTGCATGTGAGTCTTTTACTACTACATCTGGGTTTGGGATTCAAATTCCTTGTTTTTATCTGGTAAACATGTTGTTATCCTTATTTTACTAATACAGAGCAATGAGTATGAGGAGACCAAATCCCTGAAGAACCCTAAATATAAGGACAGAGCAGAGTCCCGGCGGCAGACTGTCGGCAGCGAAGGTGTTTTCCAGAGAGATGATGCCCCAGCTTCTGTGCACGAGTAAGGGTCATCTAAAGGATAATAGGGAGTTAGTACAGAGTGATATTCTGGATAATCCAGGAGAGAGAAAAATGTCTGATTTTATTCCCATTGTACTGTTTAAATATTTCTCTCTTTGCTTTTTTTTTGTTTTTTGCTGATTCAATATGTAAAATCATAATCTGCCATAATTTTACACTGATGTTTAGGGTTTTTTTTATTAAGAGGAATGACTCAAAAGCCAAGAAACTCAAACTAATTTTTACAAAGAAACTGATAAAGAAACCTTGAATGTTGGATTCATGTTTTTTTGTGTGTCTCATTTGAAGGGAGATCAGTGAAGTCAACAAGGGGAGGAAGATGCTGGAAAAAATGGGCTGGAAAAAAGGAGAAGGACTGGGAAAGGAGGGAAGGGGGATGAAGGATCCGGTAAGATAATCCTTTGTTAATCAGACGTCCTAATCAGTCAACCTTTTTCCTTCTGAAAAATCTGTTCTGCATCAGAACCGAGAAACCCTGAATGTTTGCAGCCTGTAAACGGTTTCACAGACAGGATGTACTTTTAGGCAAAATAGGAGTTTAAGACAGATCAGATTCCCCAGTTCATCTAGAAGACTAGAATCTACAACCTTTTTTATTTTACATGATATAATGATATAATTGTACAGTCCAGAAACTGACCGGCCATAAAAAAAAATGGATCGATACATCTTGTGTAAACCTGTTGCAAACTGTGATGACCTGCTGTCCTTCTGACAGATCGAGCTGAAAATCAGAAAGTCCCAGTCAGGTCTGGGAGCGGGTGGCGTCATGTCCGTGGACGACGTCTCGGCACCCCGATCCAAGTCCCACAAGAACTGGGAGAAAGCTCGCGAGCGGTTCGCCGATTCTTGTCTTCCCAACCTGCTCACGACCAAAACCCAGCAGAGTAAAGCCTGGATCCGGTCAGAGGAGGCGGAGAACTTGGAAACCAGTTTGGAAACAGGCAGCCAGAATCAGGAATAACTTCTGCCTGAACTCATTGTTGGTTTAATGTGGAGGAGAGGAGGGAGTGTCCTCAACGTCCCAATAAAATATGACTACATTAAAGCTTGAGTAACTCCTGGTTTTGTCTAACAATACCACTGGAACTGGTTTAAATGTTTGCTTTTCCTCCTGTTGGTGTGAAATAGTGCTGTGCTTCATCCTGGTTTCTAGAAAACAACCACAAAAAAGAAGCTTATGCATTTTTGTTTTCTTTCTGTATGGAAACTGTTCAAGCTAAAAACAGGAGCTGAAGCTGATCTGCAGGCCACAAGCCGCCTCAAGCAAACATTGACACAGTCAAGCTAAATTTCTCACAGTGAGATCGTACTGTAATAAAGCAACTATGGTTCTATCCTAAAAAAAAAAAAAAGTCAAACATGTGATGAACTCCTTTTTTCAAAACAGACGTGACTCTTAATTTTTGGTTGTTTTCTGAGTGGGATAACATCTGTGTGATTTGTCTGCTAAAAACGTTCAGCCACATTCTTCTAAGTCCACAGAAGCAAACATTGCCCAGCTTGTCCGCATGCAGCCTTATCTGCCTTATGAGGGTGTGTGAGTATTTGCATCTATGTGCGAACAGAGGTCGGTGTCATACTGAATGCGAAACAAGACACCGGCTACACAGTTTTGCAGCTTTTAGTTTGTAACGTTTAACCCGTGTGTCTAACTGGTAGACCTTCAGGATTATGTTGAGAGATTTTTAAAGTGAGAAAAGACTCACGTTAGGTCTTTAACCACGCTCCTTAAACTGGTTCGCCTGATGCTCTTCTTCCGATCCTGGCTTTGCGAGCCACCCATTTTAAATCTCCACCTGATGGACGGACAGACTCGAAAGCGAACGTCTCTCAGCCGTCTCCCATGCTCTGCTCTTTGACAGTTCAGCAGGTAGCAGCGGAGCACTGCTCCTCTCTCCTGACAGGTGGGCCACTCCTCCCTCCTCTGCTTGGCAGCCCTGCAAGTCTCCTCCTTCAACTAATCTGCACTTAGTGTGATATATTACAGTGGAATAAAAGTAGGAGGGATCTGCACTGTGTTGCCTTGTTCTGAGTAAAACCCATCAGCCATAAAAAGATCTTAGTCATGAGATAAGGTGGGACGTGGCCCAGAGCGTTTAAGAGATGTGACTTGACCAGTTCTAGTCTTTAAAAGCATCAAAGCAAAAACAGGAACTTCATGATGAGAGTTTTTAACATTACAATTTATTTATGATGACGTGTTTTCGCTGATCCTTTGCACACAGTGGAAACACAAAAACCCCCAAAGGCAACAGAGTTTCTTTGAAAAGAGCTGCCGTAAACAGGCACCAACATGCTCTGTGTGCCATGATGGGTTGAAGCTGAGACAACCTCACTGGTTCCCTGACGTAAAGTTTTAAACATGCATATTGGTTCTTTTCTACCTTGTGATCAATCTTTAGGGAAAACTGTTATTTAAACATGTAGCTTATTTGAGAGATTTTCACCAGTCCTTTAGCCATGAACTACATCCATGGCAATCTAAATACAATACTGAGATAAAACTACTGTTAAAGGAAGCAGCTCTATACTTTTGTTTCTTTTCCAACTGTTTCTAATTTAAATATGCTCACTGCTCCTCACAAACCGCAAACATTTGTTTTAAAACATGGGCCTTTTTTATAGCTGTAAATAAAAGATCAGAGTAAAAAGGTTTTATCTTAACCTTAAAACTATCAGATATGTTTTTTCCCATTGTCCTTGAACGGAATTTGACAAAAACCCTATTCCTGTCAATACTTGTTGACTAAGATGTTTGCTCCATAACTGTTTGTGTTCGGCTTTTAATCAAGTACGAAATACATAAGCTTTGAAAATAAACTATTGACAAGAGATGCAGAATATATCAATACTAAAATCACATGTCAGAACTGCAAACAGTGGTTAAATGGTAATGGAATATATGTTTAATCTGTAAATATTGTATTTTAAGCCATAACCAGCAATATTAATGTAGGATATCATTATTGGTGCATTCTTAGCTGTAACACAGGCTGTAAATGAACTAACCTGCAAAGATAAATTATCTTTATGATAAATATTAGGGTCAACAAATGTGCCCTTTTTTTATTTTTTGTACTGCCAACTTTGACTGTATGATCTGGTTAAACTGTAAAGTGTCTTGAGATGCCATTTTGTGAATTGGTGCTATATAAATAAACTGAATAGAACTAATAATAGCTGCCTAATGTAGAAAATTATAAATACCTGTTTCACTGTAAAACAAATGATTTTTAATTTTAATTATTTGTTTTAAATTAAATATGTCAGCCTGACTGCCATCTACAGGTGCTGGTCATAAAATTAGAATATCATGAAAAAGTAGATTGATTTCAGTAATTCCATTTAAAAAGTGAAACTTGTATATTATATTCATACATTACATACAAACTCATATATTTCAGATGTTTATTTTGTTTAATTTTGATGATTACAAATGACAACAAATGAAAATCTCAAATTCATCATATCAGAAAATTAGAATATTACTGAAGACCAATAAAAACAAAGGATTTATAGAAATGTTGGCCAACTGAAAAGTATGAACATGAAAAGTATGAGCATGTACAGCACTCAGTATTTAGTTGGGCCTCCTTTGGCCTGTATTACTGCAGCAATGCGGCGTGGCATGGAGTCGATCAGTCTGTGGCACTGCTCAGGTGTTATGATAGCCCAGGTTGCTCTAATAGTGGCTTTTAGCTCTTCTGAATTGTTGGGTCTGGTGTATTGCATCTTCTTCTTCACAATACCCCATAGATTTTCTATGGGGTTAAGGTCAGGAGAGTTTGCTGGCCAATTAAGAACAGGGATACCATGGTCCTTCAACCAGGTACTGGTAGCTGTGGCACTGTGTGCAGGTGCCAAGTCCTGTTGGAAAATGAAATCTGCATCTCCAAAAAGTTGGTCAGCTGCAGGAAGCATGAAGTGCTCTAAAACTTCCTGGTATGTGGCTGCGTTGACCCTGGACCTCAGAAAACACAATGGACCAACACCAGCAGATGACATGGCACCCCAAACCATCACTGACTGTGGAAACTTTACACTGGACTTCAAGCAACGTGGATGAAGTGCCTCTCTTCTTTTCCTCCAGACTCTGGGACCTTGATTTCCAAAGGAAATGCAAAATTTACTTTCATCAGAGAACATGACTTTGGACCACTCACCAGCAGTCCAGTCCTGTTTCTCTTTAGACGCTTCTGACGCTGTCTGTGGTTCAAGAGTGGCTTGACACAAGGAATGCGACAGCAGAAACCCATGTCTTTCATACGTCTGTGTGTGGTGGTTCTTGAAGCACTCACTCCAGCTGCAGTCCACTCTTTGTGAATCTCCCCCACATTTTTGAAGGGGTTTTGTTTCACAATCCTCTCCAGGGTGCGGTTATCTCTCTTGCTTGTACACTTTTTTCGACCACATCTTTTCCTTCCCTTCGCCTCTCTATTAATGTGCTTGGACACTGAGCTCTGTGAACAGCCAGCCTCTTTAGCGATGACCTTTTGTGTCTTGCCCTCCTTGTGCAAGGTGTCGATGGTCGTCTTTTGGACAACTGTCAAGTCAGCAGTCTTCCCCATGATTGTGTAGCCTATAGAACTAGACTGAAAGACCATTTAAAGGCTTTTGCAGGTGGTTTGAGTTAATTAGCTGATTAGAGTGTGGCACCAGGGGCCATCAATTTTGAACCTTTTCACAATATTCTAATTTTCTGATATGATGAATTTGAGATTTTCATTTGTTGTCATTTGTAATCATCAAAATTAAACAAAATAAACATCTGAAATACACTATATTGCCAAAAGTATTTGCTCACCTGCCTTGACTCACATATGAGCTTAAGTGACATCCCGTTCCTAATCCATAGGGTTCAATATGACGTCGGTCCACCCTTTGCAGCTAGAACAGCTTCAACTCTTCTGGGAAGGCTGTCCACAAGGTTTAGGAGTGTGTTTATGGGAATTTTTGACCATTCTTCCAGAAGCGCATTTGTGAGGTCGCACACTGATGTTGGACGAGAAGGCCTGGCTCTCAGTCTCCGCTCTAATTCATCCCAAAGGTGTTCTATCGGGTTGAGGTCAGGACTCTGTGCAGGCCAGTCAAGTTCATCCACACCAGACTCTGTCATCCATGTCTTTATGGACCTTGCTTTGTGCACTGGTGCACAGTCATGTTGGAAGAGGAAGGGGCCAGCTCCAAACTGTTCCCACAAAGTTGGGAGCATGGAATTGTCCAAAATGTCTTGGGATGCTGAAGCATTCAGAGTTCCTTTCACTGGAACTAAGGGGCCAAGCCCAGCTCCTGAAAAACAACCCCACACCATAATCCCCCCTCCACCAAACTTTACACTTGGCACAATGCAGTCAGACAAGTACCGTTCTCCTGGCAACCGCCAAACCCAGACCCGTCCATCAGATTGCCAGATGGAGAAGCGCGATTCGTCACTCCAGAGAACGCGTCTCCACTGCTCTAGAGTCCAGTGGCGGCGTGCTTTACACCACCGCATCCGACGCTTTGCATTGCACTTGGTGATGTATGGCTTGGATGCAGCTGCTCGCCCATGGAAACCCATTCCATGAAGCTCTCTGCGCACTGTTCTTGAGCTACATGAAGTTTGGAGGTCTGTAGTGATTGACTCTGCAGAAAGTTGGCGACCTCTTCGCACTATGCGCGTCAGCATCCGCTGACCCCGCTCCGTCACTTTACGTGGCCTACCACTTCGTGGCTGAGTTGCTGTCGTTCCCAAACACTTCCATTTTCTTATAATACAGCTGACAGTTGACTGTGGAATATTTAGGAGCGAGGAAATTTCACGACTGGATTTGTTGCACAGGTGGCATCCTATCACAGTTCCACGCTGGAATTCACTGAGCTCCTGAGAGCGACCCATTCTTTCACAAATGTTTGTAAAAACAGTCTGCATGCCTAGGTGCTTGAATTTATACACCTGTGGCCATGGAAGTGATTGGAACACCTGATTCCAATAATTTGGATGGGTGAGCAAATACTTTTGGCAATATAGTGTATATGAGTTTGTATGTAATGTATGAATATAATATACAAGTTTCACTTTTTAAATGGAATTACTGAAATCAATCTACTTTTTCATGATATTCTAATTTTATGACCAGCACCTGTATGTGGATCTGATTAAAGCTGGTTGGTCAATGCAAGAGTCCAGAAGAAAGGGTCTGTTTTTATAACAATCAACAGACCAGGAAGAACTTTGCTTTGGAATAAATTCCCACAAGACATAAAGAGGTGAAAGGCACAAAACAGGAAATGCTGCCGCCGTGGTAGTTTGTTATGATGAGTAACCCTGTTGTTGATGGAGAAAAGAGAATAAATCACCAATAAGCCTTTA